ACGGGCGAGAGTGCGAGGTCAGAGGACGACACAGCTTCCGGAGAGCATGAGGTCCAGATCGAAGGGGTTCGCACCGGCCTAGAAGCCGTGGAGCTGGACGATGGGGCAGCTGTGCCCAAGGAGTTCGCCAATCCTACCGATGGTGAGGGCGCCCTGCGTTTGGGGCATCAGCCTGGGGAGCGATCAGGGCCTAGATGCCCGGGGCGTCTACCCTCCAGGCATCTCTGTGGAGGGTCTGGATAAGGGGCACGGGGAGGCCCCAGAGGGGCTAGGGACATTGGGCGCGGAGGCTGGGCCTGGCTTACTTCAGCAGGCGTGGTTACATCGCAGTCACTAGCAGTGAGTGTCGTTACATCCTACCTGACAGGATGGCACCAACACGAAGGATAATGACAAAGAGGATGATGGCAATCCTGGGAATCATGATGGCCACAGTGATGGTGGTGGCGACGCTGACGGTGGCACTCAGCATGACGATGGTAACGGCGCTGATGGCAATGGAGTCTTTGGGTAGCTCTAACAAGTTAAACGTAGCCATACTAATCTACCCAGAGGCACCTCAGAAGAAAGACCTGGCGATCTACTTCTGAACAAGAGCCCCCCCCCTCCCCCCAAATCCTAGGACATGGTTCTCCGAAGCACATGGGGTCCCCAGGGATTCTGAATCGACTCCACTGACATTAGCGTCTACGAGGGTCACGCCCACACAGGTGGATTCCAAACAGAATGTGTTCAACCAGGCTCCTGTGAGCAGTGGATGGCTGCAGACAAGTTCTCTCAGTAACACACTCACTTTGTCTCCTGCGGATGTCTGAAAGACCCACCCACAGCTGTGTCTTTCAAGGGGATGTGCTGGGCCAGTGGGACTCAGAGCAGAGAGGTCAGCTCAGGAACTTACGGTGGCTTTTATGAGCTCCCAAAGGGCTCATCTTCCTAGATTGTCATAAAGGTTAGAGGCTGATTAAAGGGATTTCTTAGGAAGAAGTTGTTTTTAAATCATTTTATTAGGGGCTCATACAACTCTTATCACAATCCATACATATAATCCATACATACATCAATTGTGTAAAGCACAAAACATTTGCTCTCTACTTAAGCCCCTAGCATCGGCTCCTCATTTTCCCCCTCCCTCCCCACTCCCACCTCCCTCATGAACCCTTGATAATTTATAAGTTATTATTTTGTCATGTCTTGCCCTGTCCAACGTCTCCCTGTAATTGGTTCCCCCTTTCCACCCCACCTCCCTCTACCCTCCCGGTATCACCACTCTCACCACTGGTCCTGAAGGGATCATCTGTCCTGGATTCCCTGTGTTTCCAGTTCCTATCTGTATCAGTGTACATCCTCTGGTCTAGCCAGATTTGTAAGGTAGAAATGGGATCATGATAGTGGGGGGTGGGGGTGAGAAGGAAGCATTTAGGAACTAGAGGAAAGTTATATGTTTCATTGTTGCTATACTGCACCCTGATTGGCTCATCTCCTCCCCACGACCCTTCCATGAGGGGATGTCCAATTGCCTACAGATGGGCTTTGGATCTCCACTCCGCACTCCCCTTCATTCACAATGATATGATTTCTTGTTCTGATGATGCCTGATCCCTGATCCCTAGACACCTCGTGATCACACAGGCTGGTGTGCTTCTTCCATGTGGGCTTTGTTGCTTCTGAGCTAGATGGCCACTTATTTACCTTCAAGCCTTTAAGACCCCAGATGCTATTTTATTTTTTCAATTGAAAACTGCATCGGTGAGGAAAAGGCCAGAAAGTTCTTTCCCCATCACAACAATGCGTCTGCTCATTCTTCGAGAGTGGACACCTGACCCGCCCACCCTACAGCCCTGTATCTTTCCCCTCCAGATTTCTTTTTGCTCCTCAAACTCAAAGAACATTGAAAGGCCCACGATTTGAGTCCCCTGAGGCTGCCGGAATGGCTAGTTTGCTGCGGTGTGGCAATCAGGCCGGAATTCTCCAGGGGACCGTTTGAGAGATGGAGACACTGCCTTCAGACACATGAAAAGACCCCAGTGGAGGAGGTGTTGAGAAACTGTAGCTTCACACTTTGATATTTGGATGACATATTGGTTTCTATGATTTTGTAGCAACGCTTTTGGCCTTACACTCCCCTGTGTGTTGTATGCTTTGCTTTGAAAAAAGTTAGTTAGCTATACATTCTATGTGTCTTTCCACCTTGGCATGTTTTATTTAAGAGATGGATTCTAATTCATGATTTGGATGGATAATAATTTATTTAACCAATCCCCACTCATACATTTGGAGTTTTCTGGTTTGTTCCCCCTAAGGTGAATAACGTGTCAGTTAGCTTCACAATGGCCGTAACCATTTTCTAGGATAAGTACTAGAAGCAATGGCTGGGGACCATCCCAGACACTCACCCACTGGGAGAATTTCAGGTGATCCCTTCTCCTCCTCCCCTCTCTCCTTCCCAGATACTTTCATGGTGGAAGATGCGGTGGAAGCCATTGGCTTTGGGAAGTTCCAGTGGAAGCTGTCTGTCCTCACGGGCTTGGCTTGGGCAAGTATCTCTGCATGTCCGGGCTCCCATTGGTCTCCAGGAGCTCCCACGGGGCTCCACTCACTGGGTCTCTCCAACCCACAAGGAAAGGCACAGGGCCCTCCCACATCGGGCCTTTGCTTGCCTGCCAGTCAACAGATTTTATGAGTGGCCGTGGAGGTCCTAGGGAGCGGGGCTTGGATGGTGTTGTTTGGCTGCTGCCCTCAAGGGGGAACCAAAGCTTCCAGCCAATTCCCTGCTTCCCATCCCTTTGAGGCTCAGAAGTATTATGACATTCTCATGTCGGCTGTAGAGCTCTCCCTGGGAAATGAGCACAATTAAACGTTTAAACACAAGTTTCTGCTTTGAGGGACACATGGTCAGGTTATTAGCCACCCCTCACCCCAACTTAGTTATGGTAAAGAACATGTAGATGTTTAACGATGCAGCTGGAATAGATTGTGATGCCAGGTTTCTCCCGAGGGGTGGCCAATCGTCCCACATCATTTCCCCCACTAGTTTGAAAAGCTACCTTCATCGCGCCTTTCATTTCCCTGGCCAATACGGGGCTGCTTTTGGACTCTGGCGTCTGTCCTTCTGTCCATCTTGCCTAGGTCTGTGAGGGCACCACAAGGCTTAATTCCCGGGGCTTTCTGGTGCTCTTCCAGAAGTTATACTTGTTAAACACACTGACAACTTGTAAACCAAAGACAAGCCAGTCTGGAACTGAAGAGCAAAGACCCTCGTCTCTCTACCTCTCTAAAAAGGTTTCTTTCCGATTCTAGAATGAGGGCGTCTTCCCGTTTCATTTAGAGAGAGCTCATGTTTTTTTAAACATGAAAAAACACGCACAAAATAAGAACAGGGAAAGTCATATTTGTCAATCCCTGTATGGTGCCACGCTGTTTTGATTCCTAGAGCTCTGCAGTATATTTTGATATGTGGTAGGGCACTCAGCAGGCCGTAGAAGAGGGGAATCCCCCCCACCCCCGCGAATAGGATTTTTATTGACATGTCTTACTCATTCCAATACTGAGGGGAATTTCTTGTCCTCTCTGGGGTCACACACATGAAGGGGGCCAACCCTCTCTTTGGAGGGCTGCATCTTCCTCCCTCAGCCTTCCCGGACTGATGATTCGCCTTTCCTCCTTGCAGATGGCCGATGCCATGGAGATGATGATTCTAAGCATCCTTGCTCCACAGCTGCACTGTGAGTGGCGGCTGCCCAGCTGGCAGGTGGCCTTGCTGACTTCGGTAGGCAGCCCAGTCTGTCTCTTGTTGTACCCAACCTTGTTCCCCAGGTGGTCCTGCCTCCCTCTACCTGCTGCCAGGAAGAATTAAACCCTGTATGGAAATGCCAGTGGCCTCAGCTTCCTTTACTCCCACCCCATATCTCCTGGAAGACTGGGCCCAGACAGCCTGCTCAGTTTCTGGGACATTGCGTGTGCCCCTTAAAATGACAAAGTGTATCAGTCTTAAATGACCCTTATTTGCATTTTCTATGCTTGCAAGGCCCTAGAGAAGCCCTGGTGGTGTAGTGGCCATGCACTGTGGGCCTCACCACAAGGTCAGCACTTCAAGACCACTAGTCACTCCCAGGGAGAAAGAGGAGGCTTTCTGCTCCTGGAAAGAGTTTCATCTTGGGAACCCACAGGAGCAGTTCTACACCGTTCTATAGCGTCTCCGTGAGTTGGAATTGAACATTGAATGGATGGCAGTGGGGTTGGTTGCTTGGTGAGGCTCTAAGTATTAAAGTGAAAGTGGGACTACCCTTGTGGGTTTCTGAGACTGCAACTCTTTGGGGAGTAAACAGCCTCATCTGTCTCCCAGGGAGTGGTTTTGAACTTGAACCGAGCAGCCCAAAGCATAACCACTATGCCACCAAAATACTAACTCCTAGCAGTATGTAATTGAGGTCAACCGAAGCACTTAGCACCAAGTTGGCCTCTTACTAAGAACGCAGTAAACGTGGCCTCACCCTCCTCTTCTGCTTCCTCCCCCTTCCCACCCCCCTCCTCCTCGGGATGTCACAGGTGGCTGCTTGGGCTCCGTCTCATGGGTGCTGCCTTTCCGTTTGCAGGTGGTCTTTGTGGGCATGATGTCCAGCTCCACGCTCTGGGGAAACATCTCGGACCAGTACGGCAGGAAAACAGTAAGGGCACGTCTTCTAACCTCGGGTCCTTTGGGGTAGCTCCACCCTGAGGCTGACAAGCAGCAAAACGCGTCCTTCCACGGGAGCCCTGGCTGCGCAGTGGTTCAGCGCTTGGCTGCTAACCAGAAGGTCGGTGGTTCAGACCCCCCAGCGGCTCAGCAGGAGAAAAGACCTGGTGCCCTCCTCCCATGCAGACGACACCCTTCCTTGGACACTACGTTTGGAGCTGTCCTACTTGAGTCGGAGTCTACTTGATGGCACCCTACAACAATGGGGGGTGGCTGGGCAGGGTGTTCCCCCCGCCCCGTGAGATTCACATTCACTGGGTTGCACATGGAGCCTAGAGATGGGTGTTTTCACCAGATCCCCAGGTGATTCCTGTGACCAGCCATGGGTGGTGACAACAGGCGTTAAGCCTTTGCACCACCCTCACCCCATAACACATTCCTGGTGGCTCAGCTGCTCAGCAAAAGGTTGGCAAGTTCAAGCCCACCCAGAAGTAACTCAGGAGAAAGGCCAGGCCCTCCGTGCCCGGGACGACAATGGACAGAAAAGTCTGTGGGGCAGCCCTTCTGCTCTGTCCCTGTGAGTCAAAATCGACGCCAGGGTACCCATCAGAGTGCACACTGGGGGGCCCGAAGCCCCTGAGGGGAGCCGACCTGGTTGGTGGGAAGGGAGAGAAGGGAGGGGGGGGGGGAACAGAGAGTGAGAAGGCCACTGTTAAAGCAGCAGAGTCACCTCTGTGGGGCTGAGGGCAGTCCAGGAACCGTTGCCGCTCTGAGTTGAACATGAGTTTTTAAAGGCCTCCGCTGTCCAGTAGACCCTTCGGCCATGGACATCACCTCAGGAGACAGTGCTGTGGTGGGGAGGGGGGGCCTTCCCGTGGCTGCTGCGTCTCGAGCAGGCTGACTGTGGGGGTGGACAACTCTTCCTCTCTGGCTAAAAAGGGTTTTCTTTTCTTAAACTCGT